CGATTTAGAGTTAAATCAGATGGATGTGAAGACGATATTCCTCAACGGGGATTTGTATGAAAATATTTACATGGCATAACTCAAAGGTTTTGTCGTGGAAGCAAAAGAACGTATGGGATGCCGCCTGTAGAAATCTATTTATGGGTTAAAACAAGTCTCTAGACAGTAGTATTTGAAGTTGATGAAACAATAAGAAAGTTTGGGTTTAAAGAAAATGAGAAGGACAATATCATTTATGTGAAGTTCAAAAATGGAAAATTTATTTTCCACATCCTGTGTATAGATGATATCCTACTCACTATTAGTGAGGTTAATCTGCCATTAGAAAAGAAGTTCTTATCATCAAGTTTGAATATGAATGATTTTGGTGAAGCGTCATTGGTTCTAGGAATTAAAATTCACCGAGATAGAAGAAAATGGGTATTAGGACTATCGCAAAGGCATACTTAGAAAAGATTCTAAAGAAATAAAGTTTGCATGCGAATAAACTTACGCATGCTCCTAAAATCAAGGGTAATAGATTTGGGAACCTTCAGTGTTCCAGTAACCAATATGATATCGATCAAATAAATATGGTTTCATATACTTCAGTTGTTAGAAGCTTAATGAGTGTATAAGAAAAAACTTATCCTGATGTAGCTCACGTATCCAGGATGTTTTGGCAGAAGTCCAGATCGAATATAGATTATTGAAATGGAGTTAAGAATGTCTTGTAATTTTGTAAAGTATTATAGGCCTCATGCTGAGTAAGAAAGAACAAGTACTCTCAAATAGTTGTTAAACCTTAGCGAGATGTGTAGTGAAATCCACAGTAGTTGGTAACACTCGTAGTTGAAGTATTATTGTGAAAAAGCTCCAGAGAAACAGTTGTGGTATCATCAATGACGCATACCATAGTATAGCTTGGTATAAGGCTTCAGGGATAGACAAAAGTGATTAAGAAAATTTTGTACTCGAAATTAACAATGGTAGACAATAGCAATAATCATTTAAAGCAAATCACTCCTATGACAACAGGTCAAATGTGCTGCCAAATACATTGACATTAAGTTACATGTTGTAAAGAAGAAAATCCAGAATTATTTTAAAAGCATTGAGCATATTAGTACCGAGTAAGTACTTGCGGATCCGCTTACCAAAGGCTTACCACCCAGTGCGTTCAGAGAACACACAGTCGACATGGGTTTACAGGAAAGCCTATGATTTTTAGATACTAAGAGCCTAACTGAGAATCTGTTTCAAAATAGAAAGGTGTATTGTAGCTATTAGTCTAACAGTACTAGCTATTATAACGAGGCATGCTCTGTGCACTAATCTGTGATGGAATGAGAAAAAAGACAAAGTGAACTAAGTTTTAAGTCATAAGATGAGATAAGGGGGAGAATGTTAGATTGATCTCCACCCGGCTTGGTTCAACGACTGAGTCAGACCCTGACTGGCGCCTTAATCGGGGGTGCTCAGCCGTTCTCCTGGCTAGTGGCCCCCGTCGCGCAGCACTATAAATATAAGATAGGGGCTAAGCTCGAGATACGAGGTTCACCGCAGCCGCCAGCGCCCCACCGACGTCTAACCCTAATCTGATCGAGAGGGCGCGCTGTGAGCGACGGAAAGCGCCACCGCTTTCGCCGCCGTCACTGGATCACGCCTCCACTGCACAGCTACCTCTACTCTGACACAAGGCCACGTCGCTGCAGCGCCATGGCTGAGACTGCGTTTTGAAAGAGACATCGACAATTTTTTTTTGTCTAAATTAAGTTTGACCCGTTAGATCTACACCTACACCCTGTAAATCCTATCACGCGGACGGCGAACAGGGACGTGTACTTGGCCTCCTCCTCGGCGCTGCCGAGCCCGGACGCCTCGGAGCGGGAAGCGCGGCGGCCGCAGTAGCGCCAAAGGCGATGGGGACGAAGAAGGAGGTGGCGGCGGTGGCCTGCGATTCTTTGAGGTGCACCGCTGGCACGCCCTCGGCCATGACCTCGGCGGCAGCCCACAGGTAGAGGAAGTCGAAGAGGAGGAGGTCCGGCGAGCTCGTCGAGCAAGTGGCGGCCTTGCAGCGGCGGCGAGCGAGGTCGCACACGCGCTGAGCGCCGGCATGAGGCGGGATGGGGAGGTGCTTGTGGTGTGCGGCTCGGGCGGCAGCCCGCCGCCGCCGGGAGGTGGAGCTCCACAAGCGGATCCGGAAGTCTGGTGCCGCGCGATCGATCGCCGACAAGCGAGTTGACGGGCGTGGAGACGAGGTGCACGGTCACGTCGATGTTATCGCCGGCGCGCGGCGGTGGTCGTGGAGGTGAAGCGCTGGCCGGCTCAGTGCGGGTGATGTGGCCGTGGCGCGAGCCATCGGAACATGACCACGCCCGGATGCTCTCGCGCTCGCATGCGCCATGGCGGTCGATGGATGGATGCAGCCATGTGATTGCCGAGCTGAATGGCTATGGCGATTAAATGCGTTGGAGGTGCGGCTGCGATGATCGGAAGCACGTGGAGCGTGGCTTATATGCGAGAGCGGGGTGCAGGTGCGGGATTTAAAGCAGCTGCGGGAGGCGGCATGGTGGCCTCGCGACGTGGGCCGGTCGTCCCCGACCGATGGCCACGTAGGGGCGCGTGTGGCGCCTCACGCCGCCACCTTCACCTTCGAGAGGAGAGGCGCTGGAGGTAGGTGTCCTGGTGTGCTTTCTTTTTGAGACTTTTCCTGTGTGTGCCATTATAAAAGATCGCAATTTCTGTGTGTGCCTGGAAAAATTCAGCGGTCTTCAGCGCCACTACTCTAACTTTTCGGGTCCTCCATGCCACTTCCGTCGATTCAGCCTCTACATCAAGTCAAGCTGCGGTGTGAAAAAGCGAAAATATGCCCTTAAGTTTCAAATATGTTATTAATTTTTTTTAGCATCTTATGACTTCAAATGAAAAACTCAAAACTAGAAAAGATCATCATCGAGATCTATAATTTTCATATAAAAATATTTTTTTAATATAAAAAAAAATATGATTTGATATGATTAATATATCTTAGAAAAATCATCTAGTTTTGAGTTTTTTCATTCAAGTCGTTAAGATGCTCGAAAAAATTAATAACATATTTGAACTTAAGGGCATTTTCGCCTTTTCATCTCTGTAGTTTGACTTGCATGTTAGAGCCTCTAACTAACGGAAGTGGTATGGAGGACCCGAAAAAGTTGAAGTAGTGGCGCTGAAGACCGCTGAATTTTTCCAGAGGCACAGAGGGAATTACGATCTTTTATAATGGCACACAGGGAAAAGTCTCTTTCTTTTTCTGCCAGTCCGCCGCCATGGCTCCAAGCTCCAGCATCCAGATGGCGCGCGATTTGCAGAGTCGGCCTTCTACAGACTACAGAGTGCTGACCTCCGGTTTCGAAATGCTCTAGAGAGCCGTGAGCTGGTTCGTCACAAAATCACGACCCATTACGATGGCAGCTGCACTGTACACAGAAAGAATGACAGAATCATCCACCACCGTTCGTCATGCGGAACAGCAAGGACATGAGAGACCATCTTGAGCGAGTCCAGATGCGCTTCGATTGGACGTAACATGGAGCAAGCAACCCAAGTCCCCCAAGTTGAAGTTGCTGTTTCGCTGCCGGCAGAAAAAGAGATCACCGGCCGGCACGGTCCCGGATGGCCCGCGCTTGCGTCTTGGCACCGTGGACAGCGGCGGCGGCGGCGGCCGCTGGAGGACGGACCCGCGGTGCCGGAAAGGATCCAGACTGGGCCCGGCATTCTGCAAATGCTTGCACCCCGCGAGCGAGATGGCACACGGCGACTCCGCTTGCCCGCCCGGACGCCGCCACGAGACGCCGGTGTCGGCTGGGCGGTGCGAGATCCGCTAGACGCAGACGGACGGCGGTCGTTCACGAAGCGGAAGAGGCAGCACTCGCAGAGTCGCAGCAGTAAGGCTATCTCAAAAATGAGTTCCCAAAAGCGAGACTCATCCCACGGTACAGGTCACGCTCCCGCACCTAAGTATTACATCTCCAACAGCAGACGCAAAAGGAGGTGTGGCGCCATGAAGGACGGGCACGACGGAGCTGAACTCGAGGACGCCGCCCTTGCACGGGAGGAAGACGATGGCGCGGATGCCATCTCTGGCCGCCTCGCGAGCACCGCCTCCTCCCCCGCGACCCTCTCCTCTTCCCCGCGCCGCGCCGGAGGGGGCCCGCCGCGGCTCCCCGTCGCGTAGCTTCTCCGCCTTCGGCGCGGGCTCAGGCCCCAGCTCCGCCTCCGCCTCCGGCGCGCGGGAGAGACGAGAGCGAGAGAGGGGCAGCGCCGGCAGTTTGCGTCGCGCGTGGAGGACGACGTAACTTTGCGTCTCCTCTCTTCTCGAACGCAAATTGCGTCTTGCGTATTGATCCTCGGTTGGAGGCCGATTCCGGTACCCAAAACATCGTCTGGGACGCAAATATGCGTTTGGGGCACGGTGTTGGAGACAGTCTAAGCGTCATCAACGTTACAAGACAAATCTCTTCTGATCACGACATGAACGAGCAGCTTGTTCGCTTCGTCTTGTTTGGCTTATAAATCATAGCTTATCAGTCAACGAACAGTATTTTTTTCTTATACTAAATCAGTCAATGGTACTTTCAGTCGTGGCTTATCAGACAAACGAGCCCAAACGAATAGGACGGAGACCTCGAGCTTGATTTATTAGTTTGTTTATTATTTATACAACAAAAAAAAGTACTCCCGTCAAGCATTGTCCAAACCAGGAGTATAAAATACTCCTATACGCCACGAAGTTCACGACTGAAAAAACAATTGTCCCCCAACCAACGACTGAAAAAACAATTGTCTACGATGTTCACGATTGATGGTGCCTCAACGTCTCCAAATCATCCCATAAGATAAAACGCTCCGTTGCAATTCTGCTTCAAGTTCGCAGAGGATGCAGTAGCAAGCGCGGTGCACCATCCCCTTGTTTTCGATCGGTCATCTTCAGTAACACCGATAGCACAAGCAACAAGCGTCAGAGGAGGGGACAGAGGATGCTACGCCTGCGGTTCCTGCCAGCTCCCCTGTCGCTGAAGCTGGCCTTCACCCTCTCCCTCGCCGTCTCCTTCTCCGTCTCCTGCTGCGCCTCCTCCTCCTCCTCGCCCCACACATCATCAGCCAGGTCCCCGCAGGCCGTAGCCGCGGACCTCCTCTCCGTGCTCGCCGGTCCACGCGCCGCGGCGCGGGTGCCGGTGGCGGAGGCCTCGCGGCTCCACGCCTGCCTCCGGTTCCTCGCCCCAGCCAACCTCACCACGGCCCCAAAGGTCTCGTCTTGGAGCCGCGGAGGCCCCCGGAAGTTCCTTCTGGAAGGTTGCGATGCAGGGGCGGCGGAGGCGGACGAGATGGTGATGTGGCCGCCGGCCCCGGTCTTGGAGCTGGCCCGGCTGGCCGTCGACTCCGGAGGCGATCCCGGTGCCATCCACTTCGCGCTCGACCCAACGATGCTGCCGGTGAGTGTTTATGCTCAGTTCTCCCATTCGGGCAAAGGGAAAATAAAAATATTTGGATGAGGACGCAAAAAGGAAATTTATCTTGAGTGTAGCAAGAAATTTAGATTAATATATGATAAACGCGATGGTGCGCAGCTGCAAGCCATAATTCTGTTTCAATTTGGGTTTACTGATCAGAAGCTGGGATTGGCCATGTTCTGACTATGTTATGTTGTGTAAGTATTGAATAGGAACAGACACCACCATTAGGCTTTGGCTTTGCTTTCTCCTTGGTTTTTAATATCATGAATTACGTATCCTTGAGTTACATTTTGTAACAATTTCAAGTAATTCGTTGGTGTACATACAGACAAGTCTAGGTCCTTGGCCCTAGTTTAATTTTAAGATCGCACATTAGGATTATTAGTAACCACGACTGAACTATGGTTTTTTTTTACTGCCTAACTACATCGATCATCGCAATAGGTGCCAGATGTTGAGGCGGCCCAGAAGAATAAATGCGAACTCACAAGAACACCATATGGGAGGCGATTTGCCAGCGAGGTCCTGATTTAGCTCAAATCACGCTTGAATTTCCTTATAATCGTAGGCTCTGCATTTTGTTCATGAGTTTTGCGCCCTTTGTGTTGCTAACAGGAGATCAATTCATATTTTGCATTCTTGTTTGAATTGATTGTGGCACGGGGACCTTCGGTTGGATTAAATGTATCCCTGAATCGCTATGATTTGTTCCATGGGCATCTTTTCCTTGCATCTGAAACAGGACGGCTTGGAATTCTGTAAGTGCCTCGAATCGTTGCTTAGGCTTTGTTCCCTGACTTTCTACTGTCAGATCTCCCTTCGGTAAAATGTTACAGAAGATGTATCTGGTTTAGATGTCATTTGGGTGGCATTACAGTTTATCTACTTTCATGTGCCAATCTAGAACTAAAACCTACAGATATACCATCAGCAAATGGAAGCTGGAATTTCTTGGGGGAAAGGATGGAACTTGGATCTCCTGTAAGCTCTTAGTAGTTGAGTTAACCACATATGGAGCAAAATCAAGTTTAGTAGTTGAGTTAACCACATATGGAGCAAAGTCAAGTTTGATATCAGGGTTGCCATAAATCATATCAATACATCATCTTTAATATGTATCCCTCTAGAAATATTTAATATACTTGAGGCAAAATGTGTCAAGTGTATGCAAAGAAATATTGATGTTTTACTCATGATTGATTCTTTTTTTATGTAGGTTCCATGCTAAAGAATACCCGTCATTTAATAAGGAATTGTTTCCATATTATTTGGGATATTGCCAAGCAGGTAAATTTTATATCATTTGGGCACTGTATTTTTAAGTACTTAATCGAATTTATTTTCCACTCCTTACTTTACAGGATCTAATGTACCATATGATGATTCTATGAATTTGCGCAATGTCCTTTGGTTAGCACCTTTGCCATCAAATGAGAGAACAGCTTGGTTAGCACCAGGTACAGGGCTACTGAACACAACTTTGTTCATGTATTCTAACTTGCTGTTTTCCTGATAATAAATCAGGCCTGCTCTGTGTATCTAATCTGTTTTGAATCCCTATTTCTACGCATAACTTAAGCATTATGGTTAAAATTTACAATATGCTACAGGAGTATTAGTTGTCTTGGATGCACATCCTGATGGAATTATCTATCAAGAGATAATACGTGACTATGTTCAAATTGTAAGAACAGTATACGAAGGTTAGTTCTGGAACTCTGCTGGCATGAAATGTGCTATGCGTTTGTACATGATAATAGGTAACTTAACTGATTTCTTAACACTTATGCAGATGATCTCGGGGAGTTCGCTGTTGATGTCAATTATCTAAATGTGGCAAATGCAGCTCCCGTAGATAGAGTTTTCATTTGCTGAAAGTCCTCTACACGACTATTCGTCTTCCCATGGTGTGATTTTATTTCATTTCTGAGAAGCGGACGTCAATTTCATCGTCCTCATGTCCACCAAAGCAATGATTTGTTCCCATGACGACTGCTGTGCGTGTATTTCACATGTTTATTTGATTGATTAATTAAAAATGCTCAATGAAGCAATGATTTCCGAAAAGTTTTACGGTATATTGTTTTGTATATTACATGTACTTTATATTTGATTGAAACCTTTCAAACCCCAAGTATGTCAAGAGTGTCTGAATGGAACATCCTAGTGGCACTGGGCAGAATGATCAACATTTTTTTTATCTTGATCAACATTTTTTTGGATAGTACTCCCTCCATTTTAAATTACAAGACGTTTTGACTTGTACATTGCTTTTGGTATGCAAGTAGACATAGTGTATGTCTAAGTGTAAAATAAAGGTAGTGTCTTATAATTTGGAACTGAAGGAGCATCTGACACTTTTGAGGCAGATACGTGATAGCCTATCTGACACTTTTGAGGCAGATACGTGATAGCCTGATAGGCAAATGTCTCGAGGACAGTTCAACTAAGACGTTGTAGCTCGAGAAAATACTGCAAATTTGTATTACTCACTTCATATAACAGGCTATAATAGTGAAGTCATTTGTAGCACACAACAAGATACAGAATGCTCATTATGCCCATGGTGCACAACAAACTACTGGGATTAGCCATGACATCGGTCCAAAAATAGCATACCAGCGCGGATACAAATGGGTCGATTCACCACCATAAACAAAATCTCACTATGGCTCTACACTAGCAAAACAGCATTGATGCAGCCATCATTCTCCGGGTTGTTTGTAACTTGAGCATATTTCCCTGCAACGCAAGAAATTTTGTTTATTGAACAGTATTCAAGGTAGGTTGGGCAAAAGGAACACAAAGTTGGCAGATTTCTCACCCCAAACAACTTTTCCGGCAGGAGTTACCAGGCCAAGCTCACTGACATTTACCTGAAAGAAGACCATTGTAAGCAGCAATTTTCAAGAGGGGGATATAAAGACTTAATCTCAGTGAACCATGATAAGCACCATATAGTCACTAGTCAGCTACAGAGTATTGAGTACAATAACTGGTAAAAATGCTCAGCATACCTCAATGATTGTTCCCCTTGTCATAACACCAAGAGAAGTGTACATTGGACCATTTGGGTTTTTCTTCACAGAAATTATGTCAAGGTTGAAAGTGCACTTCAGTTCTGGGTGAGTCACATGAGCTTTGGTGAAACGCAGACCAGTTGGCCGAATGAACCGTTCATACTTTGGTGGTTTCCTTGTAAATCCAGCTCCAACAAAGGTGGCTTTGGTAACCATTCTCTTCCACTGCTTGGCTGCACAAGGGAAAAATGAACTAAATTATTCAGACCAAAGGAAAATCGTGTGTCCTATATTATGAGTTTATGAATGGAAGACATTGGTTGCTCATATGAGCTGTCAACTTTTCATTAGCACATCACAGTTCCACAAAGCATATGCAGATATGTGGCATGACAGATATATAAAACCTTTTAAACGGTAACCAAATTCCCCATTCATTAAAAAAATCCCAATCACTTACTTTTTCGCTTGCCAGTTCGTAGAACCTTGAACATTTCTTCTTCAGCTACAGGTCTGACCTGAAAGGACAAGAAATGTGTGAGTAGAGAATAACCCATTGAAGCAACCTCAAATGAGCTTGTTGTGTTGAGAATCACCTTTGGCAGAGGAACATCCCATTTGCCAGCCTTTTCCTTCCTCTTTTGCTTGATTGTGTTGCTGAGAACCTACATTTCACCAGACATCAGTGATCAATCAATGCCATAAAACGTTACTGTATCACAATTAGCTGGAGAGAGGCCAAGATTCACCTTGGCACGCTGTGTCTGATCACGATCCAGTAGATACGGAGGAAGAGCACCCTCTTGAACATCATCATCGACCTTCTGTCGTTTAGTTGATTCATCGTGCATTTTCAGGCTGCAAAAGAGCCAATTCAAGCAGAGCCCCACATAAATACAATGCAGCCAGACAGGAAGACTTGAAACTGTGGCGTAAGCAATTTTTCATGCTCACAACTCCTACTCGGGGTATGACCGTATGATATACCAGTCTACTTGGCAAAACTTATTAGGTCACATCATCTACTAGAAGTATCCATGCATCAACTTAAGTTGTTCATATCTATTACTCCTTAATAGTTATGAACATCTTAAGTATCCATGCATAAACTTAAGTACACATGCATCTACTAGTTATGTACTTACTAGAAGTAAGTAACTATCAACAGATAAAGAGCAGTAGCAAATAAGCACTTACGTCTTCTTCATCTGCGCCTTCTCAGCATAGCATTTCTGGGCGAACCTCTTGCCCTTAGCACCAAGCAACTACAACAGCACAAGGCACGCGATCATAAACAACAGGGACACACGAAACCAAGAGGGCGTAAACTTGTCAGATCAGAACCGTACATTGCGGGCATCCTTCGAGCGCCTGTGCACCTCGCGCGCCTCGCGCTTGCGCTTGCGCTCCTCGTGGTCCAGGCGCTTGCCATGGCGCTTCTGGTGCAGCTCGATGTGGTCTCCCTGCGGCTGCAGCAACACTCGTGCACGGGAAAAAATCAGAACGAAACTTGTAAAAAAAAATCGCGAAAAGCAATGAATAAATGGGAAGAGCGGGGAAGATTGAGACACATGAGAGCTAGCTAGGGGCAAGGAGAGGTCTCAGATTTGAGGCGGCGCGGAGAAGGGACGGGGGCTTACCATGGCGGCGGAACCCTGAAGCTCGGGTTTTGGGTGGGGGAGGAGGAACGAGAGGCGAAGAGGGATATCGGAGCTTAGGGCACCAGTAGTGCGAGCGGCGGCGGCCTTCTGCGCGAGCGGGGGCGGGCGAGCAGCACCGGCCTCCTGCGCGGTGGAGGGAGCGGCGGCGGAAGTTGGGAGGCGAAGGCGATGCTGCGCGAGAGGAAGAAAAGATAGATGGGCTTTTTGAGATCTTGTACACTCCTGATGCCCTAGGTTGTGCGTATAGGCGGGCCCTAGCGTTTGGGCCTGTATCGTGTGGCCCACGTAGAATTCCGTTAATCTTCTATCTTCTTCCCTATTCACTAATAATGCAAAAAAAAAAAACTGTCCACCACAGTCATAAACTATCCTACGTGCATCCAAAACAATACATCCAAAGCCAGCCAACCTTTCAAATGAATGATCAAGATCCACTCTAATCTCTTCTTTCTCTCACTCGCTCAACTCTAACGGACCAGATTGGCTGGACAAAACCTCGTCACTTGTCCCATCCCGCACCCACCCTAGGCGCGGTTCTCCCTCTCACCCAACGCCCCCTCTCCCGCATCGGACTCGCGCGACTCCTCTCCTCTCCCCCGGACGGACGCCAGGGCAGGGCGCCGCCAGGCCATGACAGGCCGCCGGCAGGCCTAGCTCGATTTCTCTCCCCCACACGAGACTCCGACTCCTCCTCTCCCCTCCCTTCCCCCGCGCGCCCTCACGGCTTGCATGCCCGTCAAGTGTCAAACAAATACTACATGTCTGTTGCGCTTCCACCAAATCCCAGCCATAAATTTTCCTGCAACGGATTGAGACACTCATCGAATCCAAACCATTCTGTGAATTACTGAGTTCGGCCAAAGAGTCCACATGCATCGCTCCGGCTACCCAGATAAAAAAAACGCCTATAAGGGGGTGTTTGGGACTGCTCCGCTCAACGTTTTTTAGCTCTGCTCCATGTTTTTTAGCCAAACAGTTTCAGCTCCACGCACTCTGTTCGAGGAAAAATAGTGGAGTTGTGAGAGCACCTAAAGAGGTACTCCACAAACTCCAGTTTTTTATGGAGCTGCTCCACGGTGGAGTTTGTGGAGCAGAGTTTGTGGAGCAGTCCCAAACACCACTAAATCTAGCGTCTAAAACTGTACGGTTCCAACGCTTGATTTTCCTCCTGCATTATAAAACACACTCGTCGTATGCCATTTGGTAGCAAGGTGAAAGTGCCGGAGCCCGAATCAAAATTATAGGAGGGGCCAATTTACCAATTAACCCCAAGTATGCTAAAGTGATGGAGAAATTAATCTTAGTTCTTATAAATACAAGACAAATCAAATAGCAAAGTATCTAAAATTCTCTAAAAAAAGCAACAGATCTTATGTTGACAATAAAATATATAGTACTCAATCAGCCACTTAGACAGATCAAAGGGTTTGGAAGCCAAGAAAAAAGAAAACAACAACAACTTAACAGTAGATGTACTTGTATCTGTACGCTGTACATAGAGGCAAAGCAAAGAATTGGATTAGATAGTGGGAGAACGCCTGCTTCGTGGGGGCGGGCTTGACCCTGGTGGCATAGCTGCTTGGCTGGTGGCTGCGATCCTTGCGGAGTGTGGAGTCAGCGACTCCTGGTCGCAGCACACACTCGGCAAATTTGTAGTTTTCGGTAGGGAGGGACAGAGGAAGATTGAGAGCCCCCGGGGATGAAATAGACACGGGCTCCATAGTATATGCACTATACATGCTTCAGATAAAACGCAAAGGCAAGGGGGGGCCATGGCCCACTATGGCCCCATGTAGCTCCGCCGGTTAGGTCTGTCGCCCGACGTCCGCGCCACCAAGATTCGGCTCTCCAGTTCCATGTGCATCGGCAACGAAGCAATGTCCGCACCACCAAGCATCCACTCTCCAGCTCCGTGTGCATCGGCAACGAAGCAACGACTCAGGCATCCTCACCAATGAGATCCTGCTCAACTGCTGCAAGCAGCAGATGAGATGAGAATGCCGTCGAGCCAGCCAGACACAACGAGCTCCACTTCCAATCATGGCGGGCATGTACTATTCTATATTTCTATCTATCCCTATTCGTTTGTTTTTTTATGCAATCATGTTCGTATTTACTAATTGCTTTTCATCTTTAGTGTCTCCCGTTTTTTAAGATATGCAATCATGACAATACATGAAGGGCAAGGAAATGG